AGCGACTCCCAGCGAACTCCACCAAGCTCCCGTGCGGAGGCCGCCCAAAGCGCCCACCCCACCCGGCACCGCTGCGCGCCAGCGCCCATCGGCGGGATGGCGGCCCAGTGGGCTCGCCAGACGGTGCAGAAGCTGCAGGCGCGCCTGGCCACCCACGCCCACGACCCTCGCGAGCTCCGCCAGTGCTTGGAGAGGCTCTCCGTCTTGCCCATGACAGGGGACATCCTGGCCGACACCGGCGTCCGAAAGACGGTGAGGGGCTTGCGCAAACACCAGCTCGTGGGCAGCTTGGCCAAGGAGCTGGCCGCCCGTTGGAAGATCCTGGCTCTGCTGGATCGCGAGGCGCGGCCTGAGCACCGGGTCGCTCCTGGCGAGCGCCCCGCAGATGCTCTTCCTGGGCGGCGGCAGCACGGGGAAACGGACGCGCAGCGGGAGCTCGGGCCCCCTGGCAAGCGAGCTCCCAGTCCCGAGGGCGCGACAGAGCACGGGAGGAAGCGCCCCAGAGAGGCACCAGCTCCTTCCTCAGACTTCCTCAGGCTTCAGGCCCCTCGGGGGGGCTCCGCGGGGCCCCCTCAGGTGGCCCGGCACCCGTCCACATCCCCGCGGGAGCCCGGACCCGCTGCTCCAGCGGACATCTCTGCAGTAGGCGGAACCCAGGCCTCCCACGAAGGGCCCGGGCTCCGGCCACGCCCAAGCACCGAGAAAGAATTCCAGGAGCCCGCCTCGTCTTTTCAGGCCTGCCTACACTATGAGGAGCCCCCGAAGAAAAAGAAGGCGCCTGGCAAAACTTCTGCCACTTCTACACTGGCAGAGACACAGCCGACAAGAGGTGCCTCCCAAAGCGGCCCCCGAGACTCCGACTTGCTGGGGAAATTACCTAAGGTGAAGGGACACGAGGAGCCCCAGAAGCCGCAGCCGGCCGAAGCCGATGCGGCCAAGCTGGAGAAGGTGTCCAGCGCGGCCGCGGCGATGCCGCCGCCGGCACTCCCCTTCCCCGGGGCGCAGGCCAGCTGCAGTCCCCTTCCCGCCCTCCACGCCAGCTCCCCCTTCCACGCACTGGGAGCGGCAGCGCCGTCTTGGCTCCACGAAGGGGAAGAGGAAGACCAAGACGGAGAGGAAGATCGAGCGGCAGAGGCAGAGGAAGGACCCGAGCAAGGGGCCGCATTTACTGGGGGCAGAGTGTATTCCAAGATGCCCGTGTATTCTGGCTCCAAGCGGGGCTCCTTCCGCCGCCGCCGCCGCCGCCGCAGCCAGCAGGACATGCGGGAAGAGACAGGGCTCCTGGAATGCTCCTCGGAAGGAGCGGGAACCCCCGACTGCCTTCCCGAGCCCGCCTGGGAGACCTGTAGTCCTGCTCAGCTCTGGCGCACGCAGAAATCTCGCCACGTTCCGGTGGAACAGACAGACCGCTTGTGGAGAAGGCGTTGCAGCAAAGACTTTAAGGGGGAAACGCCGCGGGAGCGAGAGTCCTGGCGCGAGATGTACCTGCGGCTTCGCGAGGCCCGAGAGCGGCGACTCCAGGCAGTGGCCGCCAGGATCCAATCTGCACAGGCCAAGAAGGCCCACGGCCGACAGACACAGATGATCCTCTTCAATCCTCTGGCCCAGCCACCTGACCAGATTGCCGGGTGGCAGCAGAAGTCGCCAGGGGCAACAGCCCCATCCCGCACAGGCAGCAGCTTCAGCGGTGCCAGCAGCGCCAGCGGGAATCCAGGTGCTCAGAGACCAGCCTGTGCCTCTGGGAGCGCCGCAAGGGCTCCCGCTCCCGCTCCCTCCGTGCTGGCGGCCAACACCAGGAAAGCTACAGCCAAGAAAGCTGCCCCGCTCATGGCCAAGACGCTTAGAGATTACAAGCACTGCAAGAGCAGATCCTACCGGCCATGAACTCAGGACACTCCTCTCAGTGAGACTTCAGGAGGACTTCACCCTGAGTCTTCCCCCGCGGGGTGGCGGGTGGGTGTGGGGACGATGAGCTCTCAGGCTCCCAATCCCCTTCACCCCGCAGCCCGAAGGTCTCCAGCGTGGGACCCGGCATCCCTCATCTTCGCGGCTTCCTTCCGCTTTTCTTCTGGCTCCCATAGGCGCTAGGCGCTCTCCTCAACGGGCTAACTTAAAGGGGCGGTGGCGCCAGGGCGCACTGGCTAGCTGATGACTGAGTTCGGTTTGCAATCTCACACGACGCCAGGCCTCCTTCAACACACATCCTCAGGCCAGTGTATGAAGCACACGCCTCAACTGCACGACGCACAGATGAAAGCAATAAAACCTGTGCCACCCAGGGGAACGGAGGGGGGGGCTGGGGGGGGAGTTTTGGGGGTGGTGGGTGGGCTGATGGCTGGCAGCGAAGAAAGCAAGAGCAAGCCCAGGATGGTGGCACGCACCTGGACCCCAGCTACTGGGGTGGCTGAGAGGGAAACCCTTGTGCTGAGGGACTCAGCACTGGACTGGGGACCTAGGAAGCCAGATCATCTCAACAACCACAAGAACAACAGAAACAACACAGGGAGGGAACCAGGGAGGAAGGGAGGGGAAAGGCGGGAGGAAGGGAGGGAGAGGGAGGCACAAAACTCTGATAGAGTTCAAAGATGCTCTGTGTAATGAAAGTGCAAACTGTGGCAGTCCACGTTTGCCCTGTGGAATGAATAAAGTCTAAAGGATAACACGCTTGGTGTGTTACAGCCGATGACCACACGTTGCTAGGCACTGGGTGGGCAGATACAACTTGTAGGAGAGGTAAGAGGTGCACATTGAAAACGTGGCCATTCAGCGGGGGGGGGGGTGCTACTTGTAGAGGGAGAGACTGCAGTATGGGAGAATCTCAGCGGGCCAAAGCACAACCTCTGCAACCAGCGGCCACGGGAAAGCAGACCAGGGCCCCTGGAGCAATCGGCCTAGCAGGGTCCGTCAAGATTGGGTCGGCGAGGGCCAGCCTCCCGTGTTGCTGCCCACAGGGCGTGAGGCAGGACCAAGCAGAGAGGACCAAATATGCTCTCCAGACCAGTCTCAGAAGATGCCCTGCTGCCTGAGAGCCCGCTTCCATCTTCTCCGTGTCAACAAGCTCTGGACAGACAGAAGGACAGACAAAAAGTGCCCAGAGGGCATCACGGGTGTGCTGGGGAGGAGTAGCCAGCAGGATAGGAAGTTCAAGGCCAGCCTGGACTACAGGTCCTGTCTCCAAAACCACCATCCATCCATGCATCCATCCAGCCATTCAAGCAAGCGAACAAACCAACAAAGGAAACCAAGAGAGAGAAGGGAAAGGATGAGAGAGGACTCGCCCATATACACACTTTTGGTAAACACCTGTGTGTACTTGGGAGGGTCCGGATGGAGAGGGAGGTCCTCTCCTCTCCTCTTTTCTCTTAGGGATCATGATCATCTTGCCCACTCTCAGGACGCCCACGTTGGTTCACGCACACTTGATCAGTGAGCAGCAGGCACAGGGCACCACGTTAGAACCTCAAACTTATGTCACTCAGAGTATGGATAGCCAAACGGTGACAGCCGTCGTCGGTGCCTTTCGGATCTAACCAAATCTAAGTTTGGGGTGTCCTTAACACCAAAGGGAAGGGGATTTAGTGAGGCCGGGGGAGGGATGGGGGGGCGGTGTGGTCGGGGAGGAAGGGGGTGAGCGGGTGGTAATACCCATGGATGGTGAACACGCGCCCAGGCCGACCGCTGCAGAGTGGCGTCAGAAAGATGCAAGGAACTGGCTAACTGGCTGACTGTCTGCAGGGAAGAATGGCTGCAGAGAGCTGGAAAGACGAAATGGCAAAAAAAAAAAAAAAAGCAGACCCACCCTGCTCTTTGCCCAGTTTCTTGGAGAGAGGTGAGGCCAGGTGCACTTCCGGAGACCTGCTAGGCTCTGATCCTCTGGGGCGAAACTGGGTGAGACCCACTTCTGGCCCACAACTTCAGGGAGGACTGGGAGGAAGTACACCTCCAGGGCAGTGGCATGGAGTTCTTTCCGGGGTGGGGGCGAAGGTCCTCATGCCCCTTGGGGTGTCTTCCCTGGCCTCTTCTGACTCAGGCCCCACTGCTGACCCTCAGGGTCCTCACAAACGGTGGTCGTTCCCTTCCCTCCTTCACTCGGAAGGAATAGAAGTGATGACGCCTAGGGACGCACAGCGGACACGGAAGACCCTCCCCTTGCCCTTCAGGGTCTCAGCTTCTGGGTGTTGGGGACACATCCATTCCCTTGCCTCTCTGGGCCTCCATTCCCCGGTTCACAAGGGGACCGCAGGGCAATTGGGATTCAGTTCCCTTTCCCGTAGCGAGTCCTCTTAGGTGGGCTGCCTGCAACGGAAGTGGACCTCTCCTCCCCACCCCCAACCCCCTTGACCCAGCCTGGGCTTTGGGCTTCCTCCTCTGTAAAAGGGGGAGAGGGAACTCCAGGAAGCTGGAGCTGGGGTGGTCACTGGCGATGGCTCAATCCACTGGCGGTGACTAGGTGACACCAGCAGTGGCAGTGGGGTAGTGGAAGCGGAGGGGAACCCCCTGGGTCCCTGGGGACTCCCGAGGCAGGCATCAGCCGCGGGTCCAGGAACGCGGGCCTCACAGGTGTCCGTCGAGGGCGTGGCTCACAGGCTCCGCCCCGCAGGGGGCGGGGCCTGCTGGCTATATAAGGCCGGCCTGGGCCTGGACGCCCGGGGCTCTTTTGCTTGAGGGACAGCACACCCCACCGCGCAGCTGCTTGCCGCCGCCACAGGCCTGTCTCCCGGCTCCGTGCACCAGGCCGCCCGCCCGTGCCGCCGCAGCCTTTACCGTCGCCGAGGACACCGAGGACACCGGCCTGCGCACACCGGGTGGCACCTCCCTCCTCCACCCCACTTCCCGGTGCTGAACCCCACCACCGTACCTGGCACGCCCCAGGGCCCACCTGCCGCCCAGCTCGCCGCCGCAGGAGCGACTCCCAGCGAACTCCACCAAGCTCCCGTGCGGAGGCCGCCCAAAGCGCCCACCCCACCCGGCACCGCTGCGCGCCAGCGCCCATCGGCGGGATGGCGGCCCAGTGGGCTCGCCAGACGGTGCAGAAGCTGCAGGCGCGCCTGGCCACCCACGCCCACGACCCTCGCGAGCTCCGCCAGTGCTTGGAGAGGCTCTCCGTCTTGCCCATGACAGGGGACATCCTGGCCGACACCGGCGTCCGAAAGACGGTGAGGGGCTTGCGCAAACACCAGCTCGTGGGCAGCTTGGCCAAGGAGCTGGCCGCCCGTTGGAAGATCCTGGCTCTGCTGGATCGCGAGGCGCGGCCTGAGCACCGGGTCGCTCCTGGCGAGCGCCCCGCAGATGCTCTTCCTGGGCGGCGGCAGCACGGGGAAACGGACGCGCAGCGGGAGCTCGGGCCCCCTGGCAAGCGAGCTCCCAGTCCCGAGGGCGCGACAGAGCACGGGAGGAAGCGCCCCAGAGAGGCACCAGCTCCTTCCTCAGACTTCCTCAGGCTTCAGGCCCCTCGGGGGGGCTCCGCGGGGCCCCCTCAGGTGGCCCGGCACCCGTCCACATCCCCGCGGGAGCCCGGACCCGCTGCTCCAGCGGACATCTCTGCAGTAGGCGGAACCCAGGCCTCCCACGAAGGGCCCGGGCTCCGGCCACGCCCAAGCACCGAGAAAGAATTCCAGGAGCCCGCCTCGTCTTTTCAGGCCTGCCTACACTATGAGGAGCCCCCGAAGAAAAAGAAGGCGCCTGGCAAAACTTCTGCCACTTCTACACTGGCAGAGACACAGCCGACAAGAGGTGCCTCCCAAAGCGGCCCCCGAGACTCCGACTTGCTGGGGAAATTACCTAAGGTGAAGGGACACGAGGAGCCCCAGAAGCCGCAGCCGGCCGAAGCCGATGCGGCCAAGCTGGAGAAGGTGTCCAGCGCGGCCGCGGCGATGCCGCCGCCGGCACTCCCCTTCCCCGGGGCGCAGGCCAGCTGCAGTCCCCTTCCCGCCCTCCACGCCAGCTCCCCCTTCCACGCACTGGGAGCGGCAGCGCCGTCTTGGCTCCACGAAGGGGAAGAGGAAGACCAAGACGGAGAGGAAGATCGAGCGGCAGAGGCAGAGGAAGGACCCGAGCAAGGGGCCGCATTTACTGGGGGCAGAGTGTATTCCAAGATGCCCGTGTATTCTGGCTCCAAGCGGGGCTCCTTCCGCCGCCGCCGCGCCGCCGCCGCAGCCAGCAGGACATGCGGGAAGAGACAGGGCTCCTGGAATGCTCCTCGGAAGGAGCGGGAACCCCCGACTGCCTTCCCGAGCCCGCCTGGGAGACCTGTAGTCCTGCTCAGCTCTGGCGCACGCAGAAATCTCGCCACGTTCCGGTGGAACAGACAGACCGCTTGTGGAGAAGGCGTTGCAGCAAAGACTTTAAGGGGGAAACGCCGCGGGAGCGAGAGTCCTGGCGCGAGATGTACCTGCGGCTTCGCGAGGCCCGAGAGCGGCGACTCCAGGCAGTGGCCGCCAGGATCCAATCTGCACAGGCCAAGAAGGCCCACGGCCGACAGACACAGATGATCCTCTTCAATCCTCTGGCCCAGCCACCTGACCAGATTGCCGGGTGGCAGCAGAAGTCGCCAGGGGCAACAGCCCCATCCCGCACAGGCAGCAGCTTCAGCGGTGCCAGCAGCGCCAGCGGGAATCCAGGTGCTCAGAGACCAGCCTGTGCCTCTGGGAGCGCCGCAAGGGCTCCCGCTCCCGCTCCCTCCGTGCTGGCGGCCAACACCAGGAAAGCTACAGCCAAGAAAGCTGCCCCGCTCATGGCCAAGACGCTTAGAGATTACAAGCACTGCAAGAGCAGATCCTACCGGCCATGAACTCAGGACACTCCTCTCAGTGAGACTTCAGGAGGACTTCACCCTGAGTCTTCCCCCGCGGGGTGGCGGGTGGGTGTGGGGACGATGAGCTCTCAGGCTCCCAATCCCCTTCACCCCGCAGCCCGAAGGTCTCCAGCGTGGGACCCGGCATCCCTCATCTTCGCGGCTTCCTTCCGCTTTTCTTCTGGCTCCCATAGGCGCTAGGCGCTCTCCTCAACGGGCTAACTTAAAGGGGCGGTGGCGCCAGGGCGCACTGGCTAGCTGATGACTGAGTTCGGTTTGCAATCTCACACGACGCCAGGCCTCCTTCAACACACATCCTCAGGCCAGTGTATGAAGCACACGCCTCAACTGCACGACGCACAGATGAAAGCAATAAAACCTGTGCCACCCAGGGGAACGGAGGGGGGGCTGGGGGGGGAGTTTTGGGGGTGGTGGGTGGGCTGATGGCTGGCAGCGAAGAAAGCAAGAGCAAGCCCAGGATGGTGGCACGCACCTGGACCCCCAGCTACTGGGGTGGCTGAGAGGGAAACCCTTGTGCTGAGGGACTCAGCACTGGACTGGGGACCTAGGAAGCCAGATCATCTCAACAACCACAAGAACAACAGAAACAACACAGGGAGGGAACCAGGGAGGAAGGGAGCGGGGAAAGGCGGGAGGAAGGGAGGGAGAGGGAGGCACAAAACTCTGATAGAGTTCAAAGATGCTCTGTGTAATGAAAGTGCAAACTGTGGCAGTCCAACGTTTGCCCTGTGGAATGAATAAAGTCTAAAGGATAACACGCTTGGTGTGTTACAGCCGATGACCACACGTTGCTAGGCACTGGGTGGGCAGATACAACTTGTAGGAGAGGTAAGAGGTGCACATTGAAAACGTGGCCATTCAGCGGGGGGGGGGGGTGCTACTTGTAGAGGGAGAGACTGCAGTATGGGAGAATCTCAGCGGGCCAAAGCACAACCTCTGCAACCAGCGGCCACGGGAAAGCAGACCAGGGCCCCTGGAGCAATCGGCCTAGCAGGGTCCGTCAAGATTGGGTCGGCGAGGGCCAGCCTCCCGTGTTGCTGCCCACAGGGCGTGAGGCAGGACCAAGCAGAGAGGACCAAATATGCTCTCCAGACCAGTCTCAGAAGATGCCCTGCTGCCTGAGAGCCCGCTTCCATCTTCTCCGTGTCAACAAGCTCTGGACAGACAGAAGGACAGACAAAAAGTGCCCAGAGGGCATCACGGGTGTGCTGGGGAGGAGTAGCCAGCAGGATAGGAAGTTCAAGGCCAGCCTGGACTACAGGTCCTGTCTCCAAAACCACCATCCATCCATGCATCCATCCAGCCATTCAAGCAAGCGAACAAACCAACAAAGGAAACCAAGAGAGAGAAGGGAAAGGATGAGAGAGGACTCGCCCATATACACACTTTTGGTAAACACCTGTGTGTACTTGGGAGGGTCCGGATGGAGAGGGAGGTCCTCTCCTCTCCTCTTTTCTCTTAGGGATCATGATCATCTTGCCCACTCTCAGGACGCCCACGTTGGTTCACGCACACTTGATCAGTGAGCAGCAGGCACAGGGCACCACGTTAGAACCTCAAACTTATGTCACTCAGAGTATGGATAGCCAAACGGTGACAGCCGTCGTCGGTGCCTTTCGGATCTAACCAAATCTAAGTTTGGGGTGTCCTTAACACCAAAGGGAAGGGGATTTAGTGAGGCCGGGGGAGGGATGGGGGGGCGGTGTGGTCGGGGAGGAAGGGGGTGAGCGGGTGGTAATACCCATGGATGGTGAACACGCGCCCAGGCCGACCGCTGCAGAGTGGCGTCAGAAAGATGCAAGGAACTGGCTAACTGGCTGACTGTCTGCAGGGAAGAATGGCTGCAGAGAGCTGGAAAGACGAAATGGCAAAAAAAAAAAAAAAGCAGACCCACCCTGCTCTTTGCCCAGTTTCTTGGAGAGAGGTGAGGCCAGGTGCACTTCCGGAGACCTGCTAGGCTCTGATCCTCTGGGGCGAAACTGGGTGAGACCCACTTCTGGCCCACAACTTCAGGGAGGACTGGGAGGAAGTACACCTCCAGGGCAGTGGCATGGAGTTCTTTCCGGGGTGGGGGCGAAGGTCCTCATGCCCCTTGGGGTGTCTTCCCTGGCCTCTTCTGACTCAGGCCCCACTGCTGACCCTCAGGGTCCTCACAAACGGTGGTCGTTCCCTTCCCTCCTTCACTCGGAAGGAATAGAAGTGATGACGCCTAGGGACGCACAGCGGACACGGAAGACCCTCCCCTTGCCCTTCAGGGTCTCAGCTTCTGGGTGTTGGGGACACATCCATTCCCTTGCCTCTCTGGGCCTCCATTCCCCGGTTCACAAGGGGACCGCAGGGCAATTGGGATTCAGTTCCCTTTCCCGTAGCGAGTCCTCTTAGGTGGGCTGCCTGCAACGGAAGTGGACCTCTCCTCCCCACCCCCAACCCCCTTGACCCAGCCTGGGCTTTGGGCTTCCTCCTCTGTAAAAGGGGGAGAGGGAACTCCAGGAAGCTGGAGCTGGGGTGGTCACTGGCGATGGCTCAATCCACTGGCGGTGACTAGGTGACACCAGCAGTGGCAGTGGGGTAGTGGAAGCGGAGGGGAACCCCCTGGGTCCCTGGGGACTCCCGAGGCAGGCATCAGCCGCGGGTCCAGGAACGCGGGCCTCACAGGTGTCCGTCGAGGGCGTGGCTCACAGGCTCCGCCCCGCAGGGGGCGGGGCCTGCTGGCTATATAAGGCCGGCCTGGGCCTGGACGCCCGGGGCTCTTTTGCTTGAGGGACAGCACACCCCACCGCGCAGCTGCTTGCCGCCGCCACAGGCCTGTCTCCCGGCTCCGTGCACCAGGCCGCCCGCCCGTGCCGCCGCAGCCTTTACCGTCGCCGAGGACACCGAGGACACCGGCCTGCGCACACCGGGTGGCACCTCCCTCCTCCACCCCACTTCCCGGTGCTGAACCCCACCACCGTACCTGGCACGCCCCAGGGCCCACCTGCCGCCCAGCTCGCCGCCGCAGGAGCGACTCCCAGCGAACTCCACCAAGCTCCCGTGCGGAGGCCGCCCAAAGCGCCCACCCCACCCGGCACCGCTGCGCGCCAGCGCCCATCGGCGGGATGGCGGCCCAGTGGGCTCGCCAGACGGTGCAGAAGCTGCAGGCGCGCCTGGCCACCCACGCCCACGACCCTCGCGAGCTCCGCCAGTGCTTGGAGAGGCTCTCCGTCTTGCCCATGACAGGGGACATCCTGGCCGACACCGGCGTCCGAAAGACGGTGAGGGGCTTGCGCAAACACCAGCTCGTGGGCAGCTTGGCCAAGGAGCTGGCCGCCCGTTGGAAGATCCTGGCTCTGCTGGATCGCGAGGCGCGGCCTGAGCACCGGGTCGCTCCTGGCGAGCGCCCCGCAGATGCTCTTCCTGGGCGGCGGCAGCACGGGGAAACGGACGCGCAGCGGGAGCTCGGGCCCCCTGGCAAGCGAGCTCCCAGTCCCGAGGGCGCGACAGAGCACGGGAGGAAGCGCCCCAGAGAGGCACCAGCTCCTTCCTCAGACTTCCTCAGGCTTCAGGCCCCTCGGGGGGGCTCCGCGGGGCCCCCTCAGGTGGCCCGGCACCCGTCCACATCCCCGCGGGAGCCCGGACCCGCTGCTCCAGCGGACATCTCTGCAGTAGGCGGAACCCAGGCCTCCCACGAAGGGCCCGGGCTCCGGCCACGCCCAAGCACCGAGAAAGAATTCCAGGAGCCCGCCTCGTCTTTTCAGGCCTGCCTACACTATGAGGAGCCCCCGAAGAAAAAGAAGGCGCCTGGCAAAACTTCTGCCACTTCTACACTGGCAGAGACACAGCCGACAAGAGGTGCCTCCCAAAGCGGCCCCCGAGACTCCGACTTGCTGGGGAAATTACCTAAGGTGAAGGGACACGAGGAGCCCCAGAAGCCGCAGCCGGCCGAAGCCGATGCGGCCAAGCTGGAGAAGGTGTCCAGCGCGGCCGCGGCGATGCCGCCGCCGGCACTCCCCTTCCCCGGGGCGCAGGCCAGCTGCAGTCCCCTTCCCGCCCTCCACGCCAGCTCCCCCTTCCACGCACTGGGAGCGGCAGCGCCGTCTTGGCTCCACGAAGGGGAAGAGGAAGACCAAGACGGAGAGGAAGATCGAGCGGCAGAGGCAGAGGAAGGACCCGAGCAAGGGGCCGCATTTACTGGGGGCAGAGTGTATTCCAAGATGCCCGTGTATTCTGGCTCCAAGCGGGGCTCCTTCCGCCGCCGCCGCTGCCGCCGCCGCAGCCAGCAGGACATGCGGGAAGAGACAGGGCTCCTGGAATGCTCCTCGGAAGGAGCGGGAACCCCCGACTGCCTTCCCGAGCCCGCCTGGGAGACCTGTAGTCCTGCTCAGCTCTGGCGCACGCAGAAATCTCGCCACGTTCCGGTGGAACAGACAGACCGCTTGTGGAGAAGGCGTTGCAGCAAAGACTTTAAGGGGGAAACGCCGCGGGAGCGAGAGTCCTGGCGCGAGATGTACCTGCGGCTTCGCGAGGCCCGAGAGCGGCGACTCCAGGCAGTGGCCGCCAGGATCCAATCTGCACAGGCCAAGAAGGCCCACGGCCGACAGACACAGATGATCCTCTTCAATCCTCTGGCCCAGCCACCTGACCAGATTGCCGGGTGGCAGCAGAAGTCGCCAGGGGCAACAGCCCCATCCCGCACAGGCAGCAGCTTCAGCGGTGCCAGCAGCGCCAGCGGGAATCCAGGTGCTCAGAGACCAGCCTGTGCCTCTGGGAGCGCCGCAAGGGCTCCCGCTCCCGCTCCCTCCGTGCTGGCGGCCAACACCAGGAAAGCTACAGCCAAGAAAGCTGCCCCGCTCATGGCCAAGACGCTTAGAGATTACAAGCACTGCAAGAGCAGATCCTACCGGCCATGAACTCAGGACACTCCTCTCAGTGAGACTTCAGGAGGACTTCACCCTGAGTCTTCCCCCGCGGGGTGGCGGGTGGGTGTGGGGACGATGAGC